AAAAACAAAAAACAAAAAAAACCAACCCTCAGAGAATAGCTTATTTGGTGTAATTGTCTCTACCCCAGAGTTTTCAGAGTATGTAGGTAAATAAACCTTGATGAAATTAATTATTAGAAGGATTTCATTATCCCTCTGCAACCCCAAATACAATGAAACTATATTCCTTGAATTTGTATCAATTTGAGAGAACAACTTTGGTTAATAAGCAAATACTCCTTAATAAGAAAGGATCTTTTTTTCCCCTACTACTTTAATGAGATGCATTAACCATAGAGGAAAGGAGTCACTTTTAGAGTATAAGGTTCTTGGGAAGTATATAGGTTTTGGTAGGGAACGTTAGATAAATAGCTGACAGTATGCGGGCACACGAGAGAGATCCCTAGCTACCACCTATTGCCCTGACACTGTTCGGGTCTTCCTCCAGTATCTGAAATTGTGATCAGAATGATCATTTTAAACTGTGCCTCATTAACATTTATCTTCAACACTCTTCATTTTGATGTTTTCCCAGGGATGGGGCCAGTGCTTGAAACATAAAGAAGAGACATTTTAAGTTTTGGTACCCATAAACGCCTATGTGAAGCTTATTTAGGAATGTGTAGGTTATTAGAGAAAGTACTGGATTGGGCCTCTGGGGAACTGAAACTTAATTTTAGTTTGGCCACTACTAACTGGATGACTGTGCCAGATGATGACATAGTACTTCCCTGAAATTTTCAGGTGTTAGGAAGTATATACATATAAGGTGATAATTATTACAATGAAGGTGATACTCATGACAAAGCATGGACTTTGAGTATCAGTAGTGACAGGTTATGCTGAACTGTTCATGGTGTGGCTGTGGTTTATGTTTGCCAAGTAGTTAACAAAGAGTAGAATTCCAGCCTATACTTTTGCCTTTTTCTAACCATGAGGAATAATGGTAATATTCCTCAAATATTGTTTGTTTATAAGAACTTTCTTTATGAGCTTTTAGCCTCTAATATATTTTGAATATTAAGTGATATTACCTTGTATAAAGTATTATTTCTTTTGTAGGTATTGTTGGTGAAGCAGATGAAAATGGAGAAGATTACTATCTTTGGACCTACAAAAAACTTGAAATAGGTTTTAATGGAAATCGAATTGTTGATGTTAATCTAACTAGTGAAGGAAAGGTGAAACTTGTTCCCAATACTAAAATCCAGATGTCATATTCAGTAAGTATTAAAATAATTATACATTAATGAGTGTTTGTGACCTGATAGCAACAGTAAAGTGTGTTTTACTACTTTAGTAAATGAAAGTAGGGTGCAACAGAATATTATTAAGACTGTTTCCTTAATGCATGTAAGTAAGCCTCCTACAAGCAGGGAGAAGATTTGCCTCAGGTCTGTATTAGATAGAGGTACGCATCTGCAGGACTTCTCATTGGCTATGGCAAAGTTTACCATTATAACTGAGCAGTTATAGCTAACCCAGCCATGTATTCTCATGGTTACATTTTTAGATTGTAGTATGCCTTGTTGTTTCTCTTTCCTTTTTACTGTTGCAGATAGAGATGATGCTGTATTGAAAATTGCTGGATGGGTATAGTTTACCATGTTTTGCTTTATCAGTTGGAATAAGATACTCCTGCAGAGTAAGAGCTTGTCAGAGCCCTTTGCAACTGTCAAGTTAATTCTGTTCCATTAGGATTAAAAATAGTGGAAAGAAGAAAAATCTGATGTAGGTAGCCTCTCTCTTTGCCAGTTTTTTTCCCTGATAACTGGAATGAGTCCATTGGTAGTAGCCAGTTTTTAAGTTTTTTAAGCTTATGCATATGTACTTAGTACAAATGATATTTCTGGGAACTGAACTTATAAAGAAGTTTGATAATTGTAATAAAACTAATGCAGTCTAATGTCAAAGATGGGTGGATTCTTATTTTAATTGGTCTAATTAGTTCAGTTCTTCTTTTTAACATTTATCTTAGAGAGAGAGTGCGCGAGCAAGTGGGAGAGGGGGAGAGAGAGAGGGAGACACAGAATCTGAAGCAGGCTCCAGGCTCCGAGCTGTTAGCACAGAGCCTGACGCGGGGCTTGAACTCACGAACTGTGAGATCATGACCCGAGCTGAAGTCGGATGCTCAACTGACTAAGCCACTCAGGGACCCCTTGATTCAGTTCTTATCAATTTATCAGGTCAGAGTATATAAGTAGCAAATACTTACATTAATGTCCTTGAAAACTGAAATGATCCCTCTAGGTAAAGTTGGAAGTTTTAATACACAGAGAGGAAAGTTGGTTTTTTATCATACGTGTTTCAGCTTCTCAAATTGGCAGTAACTTTCCACCATTTCTCTAGTTTCCTATTCCAATTCTGTAAATCTTCCCTAATTGTGCTCAGAATTTTGTTAGCTTGTTAATTTGTTTACTGGCCTTTATTTTCGTGTGAAAAAATTTTTTTCAGGTCAAGTGGAAAAAGTCAGATGTAAAATTTGAGGATCGATTTGACAAATATCTTGATCCATCCTTTTTTCAACACAGGGTAGGTAAATTGTATCTTTTAAGACATTCATTATGTGTTTCAGTCAGTTTAACAAACATTAGTGAGCATCTGCCATATGCAAGGCACTGTGCTAAGGCCATGGAGTTCAAACATTGGGCTAGTGGTGATTTCACAGGTGAGCTTAGAGTCCTAGGGTGATAGAGAGTTGAAGGGAAGCAGTCAAAAACCCTCTTCATCATGCCTGTGCTTTAAACTGATTTTGAGTAACCCCAGGGAAGGATACAACATACCAAAAGCCAGGATATCACTTTTATTATTAATGAGGCTAATATTGGAAAATGTGACTTCTGTCTTTGGACAGGTGGGCTTCTTAATATTGAAATTCAGAATTAGACCGACTTCTCGCACTTAGTGCTGGACTATTGCAAGTTTCTGTATATGGGCACCTGCCCTTAGGAAACTTAAATGTGGAGAAACAGAGCAGAATGTGTGTATCCTTTAGGAAAGGAAGGAAGGGATGAGAGTGGAGTAAGACCAAAGACCATTTGCTGATGGAAATCTTTCCACACAAAAAGAAACATCAAGAATGGGAAGAAATACCCCTCATCCCCCACCAGTACATACAAGATGGAGCTCAGATTGTAAGTCTAGTCCAGTGGCATTGTTGGCTGGTTTTGTACAGGTGGTAGCTTTGGTTTTTTACAGGAAAAAAGTTTTTATCTTAGTGGTTCCCTCCTTCAAGGATGGAGATGAAAGGACAACATGATATAAGGAGATGTATCCATTCTTCTGACTTTTTTCTTGAGTTGCAGCTTACGCCTTTTGACCTGATCTTTTAGATTGGAATTCTGAAGTTTCTTAGTAGTCTGTGTTTGAGATGGCTCCGAAGCTTTTGTGGTTTGAAATTTGTATCATTGCTGCCAGACTTCACCAGAACCTGTCACTACTTCTAATCTTCCTCTGGGTCCTAGGAGAAAAAATTAAGCTATTTGGGATTTAGTCACTGCTGAATGATTTAGCATGCTACTCCTGGACCTAAAATTTCCACTTCCCTACTCCTGGTGTGTTCTTTTCAGATACAGTGTTTAGGTAGTTCTGAACATGTTTGAAGGTAGAGGCACAAATAACTTCAATGTTTAGATAATATCTGAAAATATGAGGGCTCTCAACTAACATTCCCTACTGGAACACCTGAGCCTGCCTTGTTTCTCGTGCCATCGGGTACTGGTGACTTGGGGGAAAGGTTGCCATTTGGCATTTTCACTAGTAGAGCGGTGTAGCATATTTCTCCTTTCAGCAGTTATTAATTGAGCACCTGTTATGTGTCAAGCACAGTAGTGAGTAAGAGGAATACATTAGAGAATGAAAGTCAAAGATCTGCACCCTCTTGGAGTTTACCCTTCTTGTAGGGGGAGACATGTAATAAACATGGTAAGTTAAGGCTATAGTGTGTTCAAAGATTCGTCCATCAAAAAAGAGCAGTGAGCAAGAATGCCACAGGCAAGGCTAGTTGTGGTTTGAACATGGTGCTCAGGGTAAGCCTCTGATGTGGACATTTGAGTACAGCCTTGAAGGAGTCGTGAGATTGGATGCAATCACCAAGGAAGAGTATGTATAAATAGAAGAGGGCCAAGGACTGAGTCCTGGGGGCAGTAAGAAAAGCTTAGGGGAAGAGTAGGAGAAGCCCCTCAGGGCTCTGAGGAGATACCAATAGAGGAGGGAGGAAAAAAAAGCTTGTGTGGTGTTCTGGAAGCCACATGAAGAAAGTGTATCATGGAGGATAGAGAGATTGGTTCTGGATTGTTGCTGCTGGGTCAGGTGAGGTGAAAGTGACTGTTGAATTCATTTGGAGTCATCAGTGAACTTGACAAAGAGCGGTTTTGGTATAGGAGTGGGACAAAATCTGAACAGAGCTGGTATAAGAGAGCATGGAGGAGAGGTTTTGGAGACTGTAAGTTTGGCAGCTAAAGGGAGCAAAGAAGTGGTGTAGTAGTAGGAAGGATAGAGTCCGGAGATTTTCTCTTGAGATAAAGAGAAACACGCGTGGAAGTGTTCGGCAGTGAGTGCAAAGCTAACAGCGCAGCAAAGAGGGAGGAGAATTACTGCGGTATGTTCCTTCAGTAGGCGGGAGGGGTAGGATCTACTGTGTAAGAGCAGGGATTGTTTCCAGGACAGTGACTACAAGCACAGGCTTAAGAGCTCGAGCTGGATACACACTCTGTCTCTGCCACCCACTATAACTGTGGTCACATTACTCAGTTCCTCAGCTCTGTCTCCTTAATAATGAAGCAAGGATCGTCATAGTGTGCAGGGTTGTGATAGTCCATTTGGTAGTGCATATAAAGCACCTAGTTCAGTGTTAGACACATAGCAGGTGCTTAATAAATGGTAGTACTGGGGTACAATTAGTTCTTTCTCTCCAGTGTTATAAAATTTATGGCAAACCTGGGGTGCTGCTTTAGGGTTAGCAACACTAGGAGGTGCTGGAGTCAGCCGTTCATAGTAACCCCTTTGTGACATCTGGTTTCCTTATTAGTTTTGTTTTTTTTTAATTTTTTAATGCTTATTTATTTTGAGAGAAAGTGAGAGCACAAGTTAGGGAGGGGCAGAGAGAAAGAGGGAGAGAGAATCCCAAGCAGGCTCCACGCTGTCAGCACAGAGCCCAACGCAGGGCCCAAACCCATGAAACCGTGAGATCATGATGTGAGCCAATCGGATCATGACCTGATCTGATCATGAGTCAGATGCTTAACCGACTGGGCCACCCAGGTGCCCCTAGTTTCTTTATTATTTTTAAGAAATATTTCTCTTGCTACAATAATGTCAAAATCGTAATAGTATTTTGTAGTTTTTGGAGTCAGAATATTATAAAATGTCAGGCTGATAGTACATTTGAATAGGTATTGGTTTAAAATTTGTATCTTAGATAAGAAAATAGCAGGGAGCTTTGTTGAAAGTTTTGCATTTTAGTTGTATTTTTCTTACTACTAAATAGTAACTATATAAAACTTCTTTTCAAAAATTTGGTAAATTGACTGAAAGAAGATATGAAACATCTGTATCATTTTTCTCTCTTGTCCTTTTCTGGGTCATTAATTTCTCAGGGTGGAACAAAATCAAATCTTTGGAGAAACCTATAATTGCAGACTCCTTTGAAAAATCTTGAATGATACTTTTATGTTAAATCTTATGTAATCCTTTATTGCACATATTTCAAAACAATACATTCATTATTTCCTTTATAATTTTAGTAGGTATTCAATAAATAAATTATTAAATGGAGGAAAAAATGATTTTATGAAGAGGCAGAGGCAATTGACCGTTTCCTGTTCTTCAGGGAGAGCCACAGAGTTTGTCACTTGCCTGAAGTGTCAGGGTGGGGAACAGAGCCAAGGCTGCCCTTCACCCTAGTGCGCATACTCAGCATACTGGCCCAAGTTAAAATCTGTCCTAAGTACAAGACAGTACATCCTTCATGTTAAATATTCTGTGTATGTACCTGTAGGAGTTTAGAGCAGGAGTACATCTATGACTAATGGGATATGTAGATGAGAAGTTTTATAGAAGGGAGGGTTTTTTGAGTTGGGCTTTAAACAGTAGATAGAATTTACAGAAGTGGATAGAAGTAGATCCTATGTGAGAAGAAATTATGAGAAGGATACAGGTGGACACGAGTGTGCTGTACTTGTGGGTCGCTGAAGAAGGATAGGCCTGATTGGAATGTAGGATGCAGTGGAGTGAAAGGTTGGCTAGAGAAGGTGAGGGAGCCATATTACAAGGGGTACAGAATATTAGGGAAAATAGTTTAGATTTGATATGTGAGAAAATAGGGAATGTCACCGTCAGTTTTAAAATAGAGAAGTGGTATATGAAAATGATGTTTCAGAAAGATCGGGTAACTTTTTTCGGATAGATTGGAAGGAAGGGCAGAGACCATGATTAAAGAAGACTAATTAGGAAACCATTAGGGCTACTTCCAGGCGTGAGGTAATGGAATGGGAATGGAGAGGAAGGGATAGATATACAAGAGACATATCAAAGGAAAACAAAAGCTTACTAATTAATTATTACTTAGGAAGGATTAAGGAGAAAGAAGAGGCAGATATAATTCTAAACTTTCAAAGCCAAGTGTTAGTACCATTAGCAGCAGTTAGAAATCAGAAGCAAGTTATATGTGAGGCAGAAGATTATGAGTTTACTTTAGGGCAGTCTAAGTCTGAAATTCCAGAAAGACATTGAACTAAAAACGATGATGTTTAGTACAAGTGCGAAACATGAATGAGGAAGAAGGCTAGAGATTTGGATCCCGGTTGGGGTTGAGGGTGAGGGTGTTACCATCATCACTGGAACACCAGTTATAGGTTCTGAGAGTCTGAAGAAGTCACAGCAGAGTACCAAGACTGGAGCTTCTGGAAACGTTCATAAGGTGGGAGGAGCACGCACCGAAGATGAAAGAGGAGAAGGGGCAGTCAGTCAGGGAGGATGGTGCACTGGCAGTAGAGGTCCGATGTGGCAGGGAGAGTGGACAGCTCATTGACTGCTGAATCGCTTTAAAAGTTCATTGCAGGCCTGTAAGAGACATTTCGTGGGACATGGTGAGATTCTATCATTTGGGGGAGGCCGGGTGGGAGGGGAGAAGTAGTACGTGTCGTCTCATTTGAAAAGTATTGGCATTGAAAGGAGGGAGGTAAGAAGAAGATGGGAAGAATGAGGGGACAGAAGATCAAACAAGCACTTTAAAAGATACTAATAGAAATAGCAGCTTGTCAGTTTTTTCAGTGTTTTACTATGAGCTAGGCACTAAGCTATATGCTTTACATTTATTACCTTGTTTGAGCCATATAACCACACCAGGGAGTAGATAGCATTATAGATAGGGACTTTTGGAGATTGCTGATGGTGGAGAAAGGTGCAAATTTAGGGGTGCAAGAAGAGAGCACAGAGCACCTCAAAAACACCTCAAGGAATGAAAAAGGTGTAAAGCTTAGGGGAAGGCTTGACTTAAGAGGAGGCAACATCTAGGAAATTGATGGAAGGAGTGAAAGGCTAGGAAGATAAATGCAGAAAAATAAAGGAAATGGGGGCCTTGGTGAGAGAGGTGAAATTTTGAAGCCATCCTTAAGGAACTTATGGGAATTAAAATATAAAGGAATTTGAAGTCAGATGCTTTGAGTTCTGAGATGCACTCAGAGATACAGAGGTGCCTTGTGATTATAAAGCAGAGTGTGGACATAAATCTGTGACAGATGTGTGGGTGAGATAAAAGTCAAGAGTCTTGGGAACATCGGGACACAACGGGGTATCTCGTTGTTCTCTCTGCCGCGGGTAGCAGAGTTACAAGGGAGTGGATAAGGTGATGGGGTGGAGAAGATGAACTGGGAGCAAGTGAAGCATACATTCTGGAAGGCGGACTAAATCCAGGGCAGCCAACTGTGATGGTTCAGTCTTGGTGTCCTAAGGAGGTTTTCACGTTGTTGCTCAGTTAGAGGGAAGGGAACTAACATTTTTTGAATATTTGCTGCTCTGTGCCAGACATGGTATCATACTTCTTATACATGTTGTTAAACCATACAAATCAGGATAGTATTATTGGCTTCCTTTTTTATATAGAGAACTGGGGTCACATAGCTAGAAAATGGCAGAATCTGGGTTAAAACCGAGGCCTGTTTGACTCCAAAGTCTGTGTTCTTTCTGTGTAATGCTAACTAGCATATGCTGTGTGGTCAGATTGTACTTCGTACAGTAAAATTGATTGTGAAAATCTGTATACAATATCATGTTTTTAATGCATCTGAAGTTTACTGTAAAGAAACCCAATCTCTTTGCATAGTGAATACTCATCCCCAGTGAGTCTCAAGTTTGGATTTTTATGTAAAAGTTTTAAAAGATTTTTTTTTTTTTTCACTAACATGCTGTTGTCATCATGTAGCCTATGAATTTTGTGATTAATAATTCATGTCAGTAATGTGTTATTTTCTGTTATTTTAGATTCATTGGTTCTCAATTTTCAACTCTTTCATGATGGTTATCTTCTTGGTGGGCTTAGTTTCAATGATTTTAATGAGAACTCTAAGAAAAGATTATGCCAGGTACAGTAAAGAAGAAGAAATGGATGATATGGTGAGCAAACGTTTTACATTTATTTATAAAAACAATTTAACTCATTTTGAATGTTGGCATGTAAGTCACATGAGTGTCAGAGTTCAGAATTTTCAGGTTTTAGAAAGGTGTAAAAGTTCCTGAGGGATCTCTTATCAAATATATTGTTTTTACATATTCTGATTACGTGCCCCATAATCAAATATATTAATTTTTTTTCCAGAAAAACATTGAATGTTCACCTTAAGTGAGATAAGTATACAGTACAAATAACCTCTTCACTGTTTTTGCCACCAAATAAGAATGGTGGCACCTGGTGGCACCAGGTTTTGCCACCAAATAAGAATGTGTCCAACTCTGAAGCAGACTTCCAGTTTTCAGAGCTTTTGATTTCAGAATTGTAGCTATGAAGTTGTAGACCTGTATTGACATCTCTCTAATACTGTTAAATACTGCATTAAATTCAGGGAGTGGGCGAAAGAATTCATTTACATTTGATTTAGTAGGTTCAGAGGGCAGGTTCACTTTCTAAATTCTTTTACTATATTATATACAGTGTTGTAAATGAGCAAAAGTGTGTTCTGTAAAATATTAATGGCTGTGCTATGTAGATACATTCCATCATTAAATAAGTTTGGAAAAGAGTTAAACAGGTTAAAACTGAATTAATATGTTAATGTGTATTATGTATTTGGTGCTTTTTAGATATGTCTGACCAGGATCACCCCCAGGCCAGATTATCTTAAGGGACTGATATTTAAGAAATAATGTTTTAGATACTTCTTTACTCAGGTTGAAAAGGAAAAATTGAATCCTTTTTCAAAAGTGCTGTAGGCAGTTAACTAATATTTAACAGATAATATTTAACTGATATTTCCTCATATATTTTCTCAGATTCCAGGCTATAAAAGACATTTCTGCATTGTTAGGGCATCTAAGTACTGGTTTCAATCTTTGTTTTCTGTTTGATTGTCCACCTGGCCCCTTATTATGTATGAGCCACAGGCATGATATAAATGACAAGAATAAGAATGTTCAGAGAGCCGGTGTGCTCTTCTCCCATTTTGACCATTTGTGTTTGCTCCTAGACCTTTTCTTTTCCATTTTTTGATATTCTCTGAACCCAACTGGGAGCCACCTTCCTGAACCTCAGTAAATGCCATAATATTTTAACATTATAAGTTATTAAGGCAGTGATTATTTTATTTTTTAAAGTTTATTTATTTTGAAAGAGAGAGAGGGAGAGCTCAAGTAGGGGAGGGGCAGAGAGAGAGGGAGAGACAGAATCCCAAGGAGGCTCTGTGCTAGATCTCTTGAACCATGAGATCATGACCTGAGCTGAAATCAAGAGTCAGATGCTTAACTGAGTCACCAGGAGCCCTTGCAGTGATTATGTTAAATTTGAAATGTCTTTTCTCGATATTTTGAATCCCTTTAAATAGCTGTAAGTTTGGAAGGAGGGAACTTAAAACTGGAATTGTAATTTTTCACCTACTTTATGTATTTTAATTTTATTCCAAATGCTTTTCTTTTCTCTCTCCATATGTGTGTATATAGGATAGAGACCTAGGAGATGAGTATGGATGGAAGCAGGTGCATGGGGACGTATTTAGGCCATCAAGTCACCCACTGATCTTTTCTTCTCTCATTGGTTCTGGATGTCAGATATTTGCCGTGTCTCTTATTGTTATTATTGTTGCAATGATAGAAGATTTGTATACAGAGTAAGTACATGTGTTTAATTTTATTTTTTTGTTCTTGAATAGTGTTAATCATTGGACCATTTTAAGTCAATTATAATTAAATATTTGCTTATTTCCATTATCTTAGAATTTAATATAGCATAAATGTTCTTACTGCAGATAAATAATGAATAATAATATTCAGCTATAAGTATGTTTTTCTGTGACATGCTAAAACATACTAACCTTACTGAACATTTTCATTGGTTATAAACGTTGTGTTCCATTTAGAGGTATGAACAGAGTTACTTATAAGCCAGTGGTGTTTGGCAAAATGAATAGGCATTTTTTTTGAAAGCCGAAGATCCAATTAGATCTTTGTAAAAAGCACAAGAATTTTACAGTTTCTGAATTAGTACTTCGTATTTACCTTCCAAATTGGGACACTGTCTACAGAACAGAAGAAAAATAATAAATAATCTTTAATAAATATTTAATGTTTATTCAATTTATTAATTTTAATATATAACTATTAAATAATAAATAATAGTAAAAAGAGCAGTGGAAAAGGCACATGAGGTTAGAAAAATAATTGTGTATCTATCTTACCTGTACATGGTTTTTGGTACATTTTTTTCTTCGAGGACAAAATTGGTTGCAGGAAATTCTTGATTTGATGCTTTAGATTCTGTGTCCCCTCTCTCTCTCTGCCCCTCCCCTGCTCACACTCTGTCTCTGTGTCTCTCAAAAATAAATAAATATTGAAAAAAAAATTAAAGAAATTCTTGATTTGAGGTCTTTGGATTATTAGAAAAGTAACACAGATCTCACATCCCTATTGAGTGGTCCTATAACCTGTGCTCAGAAAGCCACGAGTGAAGCAGACACACTTTGAGCCTGGGTCGTAGGGATTATAAATTTAGGCATTTCAGACGTTCTTCCATGAAGTTCTCTATCAGAATGACACTTGTTTCCAGTTAGATCTTTTATCTCTATTTCAGTTCATAATGCATTCTTTTTTTTTTTTTTTTTTTTTTTTTTTTTTTTTTAATTTTTTTAATGTTTATTTCTGAGACAGAGACAGAGCATGAGTGGGGGAGGGGCAGAGAGAGAGGGACACACAGAATCAGAAGCAGGCTCCAGGCTGTCAGCTGTCAGCACAGAGCCCGGTGCGGGGCTCAAACTCACAAACCGTGAGATCGTGACCTGAGCAGAAGTCGGTCACTCAACCGACTGAGCCACCCAGGCGCCCCACATAATGCATTCTTTCTTATATATGCCTGGCATTTGGTGGACAAGCAATAAATTGTTGCTGAAAGAATAGCTCTTTAGTTTTATGTTAAATATTTAATAATACTAAATTACTGTTTCTTCCTCTAGACCTTAAGCTCCTTGAGAGCAAGGACTGGATCTTCATTTATCTTTGAATTCTCAAAGTACCTACTTAAATGTGTGGAAGGTACTAAATGCGTGTTAAACTCAAGTGAATATATTGATCAACAAGGTGGTTTCTCTGTAGTTTCTGTTATATTTCTTTAATATATAACCTTTGCAATTTGTTTACCATATAAGCTTTAAAATAATTGTTCGAAACCTAAACTTAAGTGTTCTGACTTACAGTTCATATTTTAGGATATAATGTATTTCAGATGAACTAAACCCCAAATACAAGAAAAGCATTTCAAAAATGCCAAGAAGGCATGCTTTACATCAAATACTGGGTTAAATTCATCCCCACTGACTGAATTGACACTGCACAGTCAGTCTCGAGTGGGTAACCTCTCCTAGAATTCAAGTTTTTGCATTGTTCCTTCTCAGATGTCAGGGTTACAATTTTGGCAATTCATTTTACTGCAGAAACTCTTTGTTTATAGACCTTCAACTTTAGAAATAAGAAACTTTCTTAACAGGCACCTCATGCATTGTTCTTCATTATTAATGTTTTTCCTGTATTGTGCTAATTTGAAGTGAACATACTTAATTATATGATTCGTATTTTTTTTATAGAATTCGTATTAAAGTGGTATTATTTTGATATCGAAGTGACTAACATTGGTGTCCCATTAGGTGCTTGATACTTTAGGTGCTTTTTTACTTTTCACATCCATCCTTTGAAGGGGTATTCTCTATTCGACAGATTAGAAAAGTAAAGTTCAGAGAGGTTAAGTAACATGGCTGAGATCATAACGATTGTTAGGGATGTTCGTAAGCTGGGATTTGAACCTACATATGGATAAGGATATGTCTTTTGCCACAACTTGTCTCTTAATTTGCTGTGCTATGGAAATGAAAATAGAGATTATAATAAGCATAAAGTGGTGAGAAAATGAAAAACCTTGCACATGAAATTTGTAAGAATCACTTCAGAGTAGGAATGATTCTAAAAGATGAAAGGCAGATAATGTAACATGTGAAAATTATTTTGTGTTGGTGATGGCCACAGCAATCAGAGAAGAAAAACTATTTAGGTAGATAGAGGATCAGTGTCAATGTGGATGCCTATGAGTGTGATATAACTCCTGAGAAGGCACAGTGTTTGAGAACCTGTGGAAAAGTCTGGAAAAATACAGCTGCTCTATAACTTTGGGTGGAGAGTGGTGAGTTGACAAGTGTAAGTCAGCTCCTTAGATGTTTCCCCCCTCCAGTCTTGGAGAGATGAACAAAGAGGACAATTCCCTACCTCAGCATATTTTACAGTGTAGATGAAAACGGTGTATTTTGGGTGGAGAATGCCCGTAGAATATTTATGAACGAAGAGATGAAGGGTCTGTCTGATTTTTAAAACCATGACTGATACTTACACTTCACTTAGTGCAGTGTCTCTGGGGATTGCAAGCTTAAATCCCTGGTAGGCATTTTGGACCCTCAGTCACATGAGCAATCCTTTTGAACCCTCTCTGCTAACATTAAGAACTTCTGACTGGTAATAGACTGGTCTTAGACCAAAGCAGCCTTTTGGTTTTCAGTATTGCTAGGCCTTTGTCAACCTTCACATACCTAGTTACAAACAGAGAATGGGCCAGATTTTTTAATGATAATCTGAAAGGAAAAAGTTAGTACTTAGAGTGTTTGAGTTGTTGAAAAAACAAATTTTGATTTTAAAAACTTTGAGACCCACGATTGTTTACTTTTTTTTTTTTTAAAGTAAGCTCTACACCCAACATGGGTCTTGAACTCATAACCTTGAGATCCAGAGTCGTGAGCCAGCCAAGTGCCCGGAGACCCATGATCTTTTTTAAAGAAAACAATATTTTTAATGTTTTTAAAAATTTATTTACTTTTGAGAGACAGCACAAGCAGGGGAGGAACAGAGAGAGAGGGAGACACAGAATCGGAAGCAGGCTTCAGGCTCTGAGCTGTCAGCGCAAAGCCCGACGTGGGGCTCAAACCCACAGACCGAGAGATCATGACCTGAGCCGAAGTCAGATGCTTAACTGACTGAGCCACCCAGGCACCCTGACCCACAGTCTTTTAAACATGGGAATGACATATTCTTATATTACTACCACATTTGTATCTAGCTATGTATTGATGGAAATTGAATACTGTAATGTTTTAACTACTATGCATCCACTTTGAGAAATTCAGCATTGGTGTTTGGGCAGAGGAGCACTACATACTTCAAGACTTTATGATCTTTTTGTATTCTATATAGGTGGACAGTGAAATATAATAATTACTACCGAGAAGGTGGTTAGTTTATGAAAATTGTACATCATCCCAGTACACACATTCGTGTGGTATTCTTGTAAATTCTCTTTAAAAGAATATTCTTTAGCTCAAATTGACAAGGTTATATGCTCTATCTACAGACTTTATTTTACCTTCCTAGTTATGCTAAGTTTCAAAAAGAGTCTTTATTGTTAGTAGTTTAAGTACATTCTTTTTGAAGTTAATTTATTTTGAGAGAGAGGAAGTGAGTGTGTGTACATGCACATGTGTGAGTAGGGGAGAAGCAGAGAGATCCCAAGCAAGCTCCGTGCTATAACTGCAGCCCAGTGCGGGCTCGATCTTAAGAACCCGCGAGATCATGACCCGAGGTGAAGTCAAGAGTCAGACCCTTAACCTCCTGAGCCACCCAGGAGGTGCCCTAAGCACATGTCTATATTATGACAAATGATACTGTCATTTATCATTTTAATATTTCTCTTTGCAATTAGGCATTTAAAATATTTTGTTCAGCTTTATTCAACAGGAGGGTTGATCTGAATTTCCTAGATACCATTAGTGGAAGAAGAGATTAGAAATTGTTGATCTGAGTTAATGTTGATTGTGGACCTATGGATTAAAAAAAATTTTTTTTTTAATGTTTATTTATTTTTGAAGGAGAGAGAGAGAGACAGAGTGTGAGCAGGGGAGGGGTAGAGAGAGGGGAGACGCAGAATCCGAAGCAGGCTCCATGCTCCGAGCTTTCAGCACAGAGCCTGATGTGGGGCTCGATCTTACGAGCTGTGAGATCATGACCTGAGCCAAAGTCGGACGCTCAACTGACTGAGCCACCAGGCGCCCCTGGACCTATGGATTTTTAAAAAATAATTTTTAATAGTATAAGGAAAACTAAGAAAAGTCTCAGTGTTATACCATTTAAAGTAATAACACTAATATAGGTTACATTACTTCCATTTTATTTGCCAGTGGGCAAAAATCTTAAGCAATTAAATCAATTTATAAAGAGGAATATTCTAATTATTTTTCTTAACAGATGAATATCCTTATCCATATGATGTGATTGGTTCACAGGGTTGCAAAACAATTTTAGTGCCAGCTTCTAACATTTTTGCCAAAGAAATGTGAAATATTTGTTTAGAATATATTATGAAATTTAACTGCAGATGAAAAAAATTAGTATTAGCCTGTGCAGTTTTAACTAGAAATTCATTCACTCAGAAACCTTCTGAGATCCTTTATAGTCCAGGATGATATTTTTGTGTTCCTGTTAAATTTATCTTTGAAATTACACTGACCTTAATGTGATAGGCTTTATGATATTTTCTTTAAATTGTTGGTTTTAACTTACCATATATGTTGTTTCGCCTTTTCAGGAGGGGATCAATGCTCAGTACAGCCATATTTGTCTATGCTGCTACATCTCCAGTGAATGGTTATTTTGGAGGAAGTTTATATGCCAGACAAGGAGGTAACTTATAAGTGATCTCTTCGTATTTTTAATTATAGATGCCAATATTCTACTGTGGGGTATTTGGAATTTAAAATGGATAGTACAGCCATTGTAAAATACTTTGTGTTCCCATTTCACATAATGTCTACCAAACCGGCTATGGGATCTACTTTGCTTTTATGGAATCCTTGCATTTTATTTCTGAAAATTAGGAATAATTAATAGATTATGTCCATTGTTCACTGTGAAGTTAGCTAGCCCTGAGGAACATGTAGGAGAGAGTATATTTAAGTTATTGATATTACTTTGCTTTGAGGTGCCTTACTTCCTAAATGTCCTCCATGGGAGGCCTCCACATAGAGTATATAGTGTTACAGCTGAATATAAAGGCATGTTTTTTGGCTTTTGGATAAAGTATTGGACTGGAAGGAGAATAGGAGAGAGCTGTTTATTTCTATTGACTCTGAAATATTTATCAAAGGACCCTGCATTAAGATTTTTGTTATTCTTTGTCAAAATCTTTTGCTAAGATTAGCACTTCATCTTAAATACTCCCTCGCTTCTCTACTTTTGTGACCTGGAAATGATGGGAGATACAGGGATGATACAAAGGTACTGCTCCATGGTGTTTCTTTCTGTGGTAGCATTAAAGGGTTTTCACATTTTTTTGTTTTCCCTGTAATTGGGGCCAGAAAAGTACTGAAAGTAGATTTGCGTATTTCAGTTTATGACAGAAGGGTTGTTGAAAGACCTTAAAATTATATTCCTAAGGATAGAGACTTTCTCATGTGATTTTCCCAGCTCATCTTAAACAATGTCAGCATTAAGGGATCCTGCTTTTTAGTCGACTAGTCTTATAGATAGATTATTGGCATTCTGAGCATGTATAGGACCATTTAAAATTCCTCCAGTATATCCTGGTTTACCATTACTCTTTTTATTGGTCCTACTAGATTTAATGTGACTTGTACCTTCAGTGTAAATAAATCTTTGGGTTGCCTGAGGGAGTATCATAGATTGCTAATTATTTTTGTTAACTGTTCAATGTCTTATATACCTTTAGCTACAGGAAACAAGTCTTATCATAACAGGATTACCATCCTAAGGAAATCAGGATGCCTGAGTCAACTTCAGCTTTGAATTTGATGTGAAAACTAGTTAGGCTAAGAAATTTACATTTTATGACCTCCAGAAAAGTCTCCACAGCAGAAACATTATTTAAAACAGGAAATTTATTCACTCTTGGACAGAAATTTGCTTTTAGTTTGATTGCAAGTTAAGAACACCTAGCTACACTTTTCTTTATTACACTTAACTCTTGAAAGCAGAGTTCAGACTCAAACCTAGGAGTATCAGATGTTACCACGTATAATCTAAAGGTTATTTTCTGATTGACAGTGCCTTGAGGAGGTCTGATCGTGTACTGATAATTTTGTCTGAGCGATCCCTAAAAACCAGGTTAATGTAAGAAGTCAACCCAGAGAGTTGAGAATTTTTCAGACTTACTTCATTGCACTACAGCGAAGGTCTGCATATTGTCCTCAGTGTACTGGATAATCCTCCAGACCCAGTTTGAAACTAGGGGTAGCCTGGAACTTGACCAGAATCTCCAAGGTTGCAGGGGACCAGCAGGAAGCACAGTGTAGATGCCTGGGCTACTGATTGTACCCAGTGGAATGTGTGTGGGATTTTTTGTGACTGTTGGAGGGAAAGGGAGTAAGAGAATTAAGTATGGAATTTATTAATACATTCTGAATCTGAGCAGGTAATGGAAAGTGTAGGAAAAGATAGTGCTGAGAAAGAGATAGAATTAAATTGGAAAAATAATACTTTAATTAATGGCCACCCTTTTTGTGTTGTTTTTGTGTTAAAATGCTGAATGTTGAGTCTGTGTGTGGAAAGGAGGGCCCTTGAAACTTAACCTGAGAAAGAAATAATATAGAGTATATAGAGGTGATACTTCAAAATCAAGGAGTTTTTCTGGAAGAATGTCAAGATTTGGGATAGTAATTCTGAGATGGATGTTTGAAAGAGCTTCACATAGAAGAAAACAGAAATTAGGGTATTGCTTATTTTGCTTATAGCACTTTACTTTTTTTTTTTTTTAAGTTTTTATTTATTTATTTTGAGAAAGCGCACGCGTGCGAGAGAGAGAGAGCACACGCGCGCACTTGAGTGGGGGACAGGCAGAGAGACAGGGAGAGAGACCCCAAGCAGGCTCTGCACCATCAGCGCAGAGCCCGATGTGGGGCTTAAAACTCACGAAACGTGAGATCATGACCTGAGCCTAAGTCCAGTGCTTAACCGACTGAGCCACCCAGGAGCCCCACTTATAGCACTTTCTGTTTGGGTCCCGATTGCTTTTGGTTGTGGAGTTGAATTGTAATATCGATCCAGTATGAAGTCTTTGTGTTTTGTTCCTAAGCAGTATGCAGGTGCTTTCTTGGCAGTGCGCCTGCTCGTATACTCTGCTGTATTAGAAAGATCGCTCCTTGTTCTCCTGATCAATATGCACACGATTTAAAATTTTTGATGACATAGTTTAAACATTCATTTCTTTGACTGTTTAAATAACAGTTGTTCACTGTATAGAATTTTGGCAGTACAAAGAGGTACAAAGAAATAGTGAAACTTAAAGTCTGTAGTTCTAATTGCTGAGAGAGAGAGCTCATGAAACACTCTTTTGTTTTTCCCTTTTGAAACAAATTTAAATATGTATTTATAATCATAATTACAGCTAAAAGTAAATTTGGGGTAAGTTCAACTTAACTAGGGGTAATTTAATTTGGGGTAACTTAAACTAAGTATTTAAAAAAAATTTTTTTTTAAGCAGTGTAATCCTCTTTTCAAATGAAAGCTTACATGAACTCCATTGTGTAAATTTGTTGAAAATGGACTTGTTCTGGTTAAAACCGGGTTTGGGGCTCTTCTTTCACCAGTGACTTCATGGGCACCTCCAAGAAGCTCCCGAATTCCTAGTTGGAAAACGCCTATATAGGCCGACTTGTAGCCCAGAAAGATTGAGTGGCTTACCAAAATTCACAGCAGTTCAGTGGCAGTATCACGACAGAAAATTAGGACATTTTACTATATAGTCCATTGCTCTTTTCTGGTGCATCCACTTCAAAAGCTGTTTGCATTAGACATACTTGAATAGCTGTTGTCCTGAAACAATCATTAGAGTGTCAGATTTTAAGATGTTTACATGAGAATTTTAAATAAATGTTTTGGCACTAAAGAAACAATAATTTGGTGCCTTATGAACATTAATATATGCCCCTCACCTCCGATTTTCATTATTTCCTTTCTCTTTCAGGAAGGAGATGGATAAAGCAGATGTTTATTGGGGCATTTCTTATCCCAGCTATGGTGTGTGGCACTGCCTTCTTCATCAATTTTATAGCCATTTATTACCATGCTTCAAGAGCCATTCCTTTTGGAACAATGGTAAGTTGCTTGAATCTTGCTTTTAAACTGGAAAAGTATAAGCATTCTAATATGAGGCCTGCTATCTCTCTGAAGTACCTCTTCGTAAGAAGAATTTTGGCATTTGCAGCCAGTCCCTGACCAGTCACAGAAAGTTAGGTGAAGAAAACTTTTCCTTGATTCTGTGAACCAGTGAAGTGAAAGTCTGACTTCTAAGTGTGATGAGAGAATACTATACTTTTTATCAGAGATGGGAGAAACTAGAGAATATATTATAGAGGAAGAATAATGACATACGAAAAATGAGGGTGTTTTAAGGTGATAGTGGGTGCGTTGGTAGTGTTAGGAAGTGAAGCTTCTCCATAATACATTTTCTTTTTTCAGTATACACTGAAAACATTTATACTGATATGTTGCTACAGACATTAAAACCCTATCTCATATCTTACCTGTAATCACAGACTTTGAAATATTTTGGATCTTTTAACTACATTAAAACTAAAACACAGATGTATACCAGTGCTTTACAAAGGTAACCCACAGCCTCCAAATTGTTCTTGTTGTTACCTTTTTTTTAAAGTGTTTATTTATTTTTGAGAGACAGACAGAGTACAAGCAGGGAAGGGACAGAGAAAGAGGGAGACACAGAATCTGAACCAGGCTCCAGTCTCTGAGCTGTCAGCACAGAGCCCGACGCAGGCCTCGAACCCACGAACTGTGAGATCGTGACCTGAGCTGAAGTCAGACGCTTAACCGACTGAGCCACCCAGGCGCCCCTTGTTGTTACCTTTTTGGAGCAGACTTCAATGCTTTGTTTTATTTTGTTTTTAAAGATATACATATATATATGTATTTAATGTTTATTTATTTTTGAGAGAGACAAAATGAGAGTAGGTTAGGGGCAGAGAGAGAGGGAGACACAGAATCCAAAGCAGGCTCCAGGCTCTGAGCTGTCAGCGCAGAGCCTGACGTGGGGCTCGAACTCATGAGCTGTGAGATTATGACCTGAGCTGAAGTCGGACACTCAACCAACTGAGCCACCCAGGTGCCCCGACTTATTTTTTTTTTTTTTTCAACGTTTATTTATTTTTAGGACAGAGAGAGACAGAGCATGAACGGGGGAGGGGCAGAGAGAGAGGGAGACACAGAATCGGAAACTGGCTCCAGGCTCTGAGCCATCAGCCCAAAGCCTGACACGGGGCTCGAACTCACGGACCGCGAGATTGTGACCTGGCTGAAGTCGGACACTTAACCGACTGCGCCACCCAGGCGCCCCTGCCCCGACTTATTTTTAATGTACACTTGTGCAGACATGTGCACACTCTTATGCACATGTATGCAAGGTGCACCATGGTTACTGCTTTTCAGAGAGGCTGTGTAACGTGGTCAAGGTCATACAAATATTGGCAGAACTGTAACTGGACCCATATCTCTTTCTGAATTTTGATCTTTGGTTTTCTGTCAAATGGTTTCATAAAAATTCCAGGTGATTTTGGTTGTTTTATAATCTGGGTTTCTCAAAGATCCTGCATTATACATTTTTACTAAATGTTTGATACTTTTGAGTTGGAAATATTTTTGAAAATTGCTTCAAAATTGGCATTCTTGTTTTTGTTTTTTTGCAATCCAAAGTGAGTGATAATAGTTGGGAAAGGGTAACATAATTAATTACGTTCAGAACTAGAAAAGAATTTGCTTCATAATAGTTACAGGCCATTAGAAAGTATCTATAGGGCTTCAACTATCTCTTAAAGATCATCTGCTGAATTAATTATTTTCATAGTGCTTTAAAAGTTAAAATTCAGATTCTGCTATAATTTTCCTCAAAGTTTTGAATTGACGTGGTGAAAATTATATTTTAAAGTTGCTTTGCTTCACTCAAATTTTAAATTTTACCGCTTGTAAAGAGGGTTTTAAATTTTCAGTGTAATTTGCCTTTAGATAATTTAATGATTACTAGTTATTAGAATACAGTTTCAGCCTCTGTACTGAGCCGAAGCAGGTTGATAAAAGTGGTCTTCGCACTTGCAAGACTGGCTGCTGATGCCGAGCAGGCACCTGAAGTACCTTGTTCTTCATTTATTTCCAAATTCGGAATGAAGGACATTCATCGCCCTCAAGTTTTAATCAGATGTGTAGTCTAACATTTTTTTTTCTCCTTTAGAAAGTATCAAAATTTGTTTAGAAAATGAAATTTAAGAACTTGAGGTGAATGTTTGACCCAGCTGTCCATTCAGTATTTTAACTAATGAAATTTGTATTTTAGTTATTTGTTGATATTACAAAGGAAGTGGTTATACAGTCTCAAAATCTCCATGGCTCTCAACCCTAGGTACACATTAGAATCCTTGGGAATTTAAGTAATTTCAGTGCTCATGGCTTCGTCTTAAGCCAGTTTAATCTGTTTTGCTTTAAATCCAGTCACTAGCGTTTACCTGACTCTGGTTCCCAGCATCTGGAGATGGACCTCTCGGCTGAAAGGCTCCCAAACCATATGTTTCTGAGAAGCTGTGTGCTCCTACTTAACTGGACACCCTTGTTTGAAAATCAGTCTTCAGATACTCCTGTTTGCTCTTCCCCTGGCCTTAGCTGTTTCTGTCCCCCATTCCTTCGATCTCGTGGACATTGAGCCCTTTCTCAATGATCTTTCTCTAGTTCTCTGTTTTCTCAAATACTTCATAGCTACGGATTTAATCCAACTTTGGTGAAAGTGATTTCAGGCGTTTGCCTGCTTTAATAGAGGCACCCACATAATAGGGTTTTGCCAACTTGGGATCTGGAATTTTGTCAGAATACTGCTGTTGTCACCAGGACTAGTCCAAGATTGAAAGTGAGCAGAATTTGTCTTCAGACCCCAACTTCTCTGCTCAGGTGTACCTAATTACACATAAAAGCCATTAAATCCGTGTCAGATTAAACTTTTTGAACAATTGTTAATCTTCCTGGCTTAATAAAGATAAATGTAAGTAGAGGGTAGTAATAATAATCTGAGCTCATATCATATCTCAAAAATGAAATTCATGATATGTGATCAGAAATTACCGCAGTAAAGAATGGAGACCAAGACGAATGAACAGGTACTATTTTATATCTCTCAAAGGTTATGAGGAAAGTAGAATATCCCTAAGTGTAAAGGAATAATAAAGATCTATATATATAAAAAAACAAAAACAAAACTGTGTTACCTAACCTGAACTTTTGACAAACGCTAAGGCAAATTGGGATTTTGTAAAAATGCTTTCCTAGTGTGACCACAGGCTTATTACATGGGATTAGGTGATGTAACAGAGTAGAAGAAAAAATGGCTCTAACCCATTCTTTTTCTTTTTCTTTTTCATTAAATAAAATAACCTTTAAACAAGAAAAGATAAGAGGAAAATAATCCCTGATAAGGGGGAAATGAAGCCTAAGAAAGGGAAGGGGATTCCTGGTACAGGACTCCACAGCTACCTTAGCTGTAAGTTTGCTGCTTATGTAAGTGACCTTTTAGACATACTGAGAGATCATGCTAATAAGCGATGTCTGAATAACTGTGTAAGAGAACAGAAGCATTGTAAAACTGGACATTGGCAAATTTACTTTTCCAGAAGGGAAAGGAAGAAAGTGGATTCTACCTTACAAAATGTGGTGAATTTGATGAAACACAAGATATTAGAATGTTACTAAAATTTGTCTTTTAAATCCTGGAAATAATGAACATTGGGAGCTATTATGGATTTATGAAGACAAAAATACTAGAACAACTTCATTTCCTCTTTTTGGTAGGTTTTAGTAGATAAGAACAAAAGATTGGAAAGTATTGATCTTGTTGGACAAGATAGAGAAATATAGGTGGAATAGTACAATCAGGTAGATGTGTAAATAGTTATAGAATTAAAGAAATAGAACGATATTACTAATAAGATGTCACATATGTCTTTCAGTAGAGTAGACTTTGACCAATTCAGATGATTGTTAATGATGTGTATAAAGGCATAATGAATTGAAGATTAAGTTGAAAAAGGACATGAGATCAAGGAGAAAACTAGGAATGTGGAATGATGAAGACAACATCTAAAACCGGTCTCACCTGACTGAAATGATGTGCCAAATTTGACCAGACGAATTCTAATAGAGAGAGATACATGTGTGTTGCATTTTGTAGTTTGCCAAAAGCTCTTTCTTACCTTATCTGGTTTCAGAAGGACCCAAAGAGATAGGCAGAGCTAGTGACATGTGTTATCCCTGTCATACAGAGCAGAAGCCCAGGACTCTTGCAGAGTAACTGACTCAAATCACATTTTGTTTGTTGTGCTGTGGTGATGATTTGTTTTTGTTTGTCTATTTTCTTTCCTTCTTTTCTGCCAAAAGGAATTTTAGCTTTATGCTGAGACTTGTGAATGTAGAATATGTTATGCCTTTGTGTGTGTGTGTGTGTGTGTGTGTGTGTGTGTGTGTGTGTGTGTGTGTTTACAGCTGTGTAGAGATATAATCAATACATGATAAATTGTATGTATTTAAAGTATACAGTTTGTTGAGTTTTGATATGTGTATACATTTAGGAAACCATCACCACAGTCAAAAAAAGAAGGTATTTATGAAGTCCAGAAGTTTCTCTGTGTACCTTTGTAATTCACCCCTTTTTTCCTCCTTCTTCTTCCCTCCTCAGGTAACCATGGATCTGCTCTCTGTCATCATAGATTAGTTTGTATTACCCAGAATTTTATCTAAATACAGTCACATAATATGTTCTTTTTTTGTCCTTTTTCACTCAGAAAATTATTTTGAGATTCATTGATGTTGCATGTATTAAAGTTTATTGCTTTATATTGCTCAGTAGTATTCCATGGATATACCACAATTGTTTACCCATTTATCCAGTAATGCATTCTTGGGATTATTGATCCCAATTATTAATGCATTATTTCCAGTTTTTGGCTATTATAAATCAAACTGTTATGAGTATTCATATACAAGCCTTTGTGTTGGATATATTTTCAGTCGTCTTGGACAAATAACTACAGTGGAATGACTGAGTCATA